TGATGTCCTTCTCCAAGGATCGGTCTCTCCTTACAACATGACCAAAGTATGTCAGACGAAGCCTCAGAATCCTTGCCTCCAAGGAGCAGCCAGATTTAACCCTCTCCAGGATAAATCTGTTTGTTTTCTTAGCAGTCCATGGTACCCTCAGCACTGTTCTCCAACACCAATAGTCTTCCCTTAATAAAGGCTAATACTATGAATGCTGGCATTGAGAACTGTTTTAAAGCTGACATTCACTAGTTCTGTGTTTTAGTCAAATTATTGCTTAGCTTGTATTTAAGCTTCTGTTTTCTGGGGTAATAACTTCCTCATAGTATTGTTAATGAAACAAAGAAAACACACGGACAAGTCAGTTAAACATTTCAAATAATGACAGTTCATACACAACGAATCTCCCACAGTATATCAACAAATGGACCAAAAAAATCTGAGGAAACTACTTTTCATTTCATAAGTACTAAGTAATTTCCCTACAAAAGCACCCATATCAACTCAATTCACTGCTATCAAGTCTGAACGAAACTCAGAGTTGACTCCAAGGTGGGCTTCCAAGGCTATAAACTGCATGGAAGAAGACTGTCATCCTTCTCCTGTGGCGCTGCTGGGAGATTCAAAATGCCTGAGAGGTTCAGCCTTTAGGTTAGCAGTGCCTTCCCTATGAAGCTCCCTATATTGCTCATAGGGTCGTTCTAATTCCTAACGACTCTCTGGTACCTAACAGCAAAAACAAATGTGTGTGTATGTAGATGTATGGACATACACATATACATATATACACACATACAAATATACATATACAAACACATACAATTGTTGTTATGTGTGGTCAAGTTGCCTGTGACTCATAGTGACCCTATGTACAACAGCTCTGAAGCCTGGCCTGAGCTGGTCTGATTGCGACACAATTATACCGATTGCCCTAGTCATTGTATCAATCTATTTCATCCAAGGTCTTTCTCTCCTGTGCTGTCCCTCTGCCCTTCCGAGCATGATGTCCTTCTCCAAGGACTGATATCTTCTGGCCACGTGCCCAAAGTATTTAAGACTGAGCTTCAAAATCCTAGCCTCCAAAGAGAACCTTTGTTTCACTCTCTCTAGCACAACTCAAAGGCATCAGATTCTTCGTCTGTCGTCTTTAGTCATTGTCCAGCTCTCTGAAGCATAGCAAGTACTTGCGATGATATGGATAGATAGATACATGTTGCTGCTGGTGTCAGGTGCCATCAAGTCCTGGAGATTTTACAAATAATGGCTCTAAATTGTGCTCTACGCTATGCCAAGAACATAAGGAGTTCTGGTAAGTGCTGTGCTGCCAATCTAAAGAAAGGTGAATCCACTAGTGGTTCTGAGTAACAAAGATGGGCAATTTCCC